GATCCACCCAAACACACACTGTGAAAAAGCACGAAATATACAGATGAACACGATAACAAGACAAAATACGAAAAACAGACAGAGATATACACAGACATATATGCTGCACCAACTGATTAGAAAAACACGCGAAAAAAAAAAAGAAAAAAAAACAAAAAAAAAAAAAAAAAAAAAACAACAACAAAAAAAAAACAAAAACAAACAACCAAAAACAAAAAAAAAAAAAACAAAAAACAAAAAAAAAAAAAAAAAAAAAAAAAAAAAAAAAAAAACCGAAAAAAAAAAAAACCGGAACAAAAAAAACAAAAAAAAAAAAAAAAAAACAACGAAGAAAAAAATCGAGACGGAGAGAAAAAGAAAGAGAGAAACGGACGGCACGGACGATCAAGCGATTACATACAAGACAGAACAATGACCAATCTAAATAAATGAATAAGATAGAAAGACATAAGCGACAGAACAAGAAAAAAAGACGCAGTGAGAACACGAAATTGTTAGATATATTAATCTAAACAAAATATGAAGACATACTGATATAAGAATATTATTTAAATAGTCACAGCAAGTAGAGGACATAGATACAAAGCAGACAAATACACAAAGGTATCTGAATTTAAATATAGCACAGTGGACAATAATAAGAATACGGACAACATGTGAAAAACATTATTATGAAGAATATAATACAAATACTAGTAGTAAAAAATCACACGTGAACCATGGTTGATGATATACTATTCTGTGGAGATAAAGGTGACTGTTAGTCTTGTAGTGTAATATATATATTAGAGTGTAATATAAGTATCCGTGACATCGGAACGATATCACAGATTATTGATCCTTAAGGACGTAGATATATCGGAGCCGGAGCATCGAGATACTAGTTCAGGGTGGCGCTATAATACGTCCGAATAATGTTGCCGCATCACTACAAAATGGTTATACACCATAGTATTATTTTGGGCTATGACACGTGTATATCAAGATAGCCCGAGTCGGTTTAGAGTTAGATGTTAGTGTTCAGTGTTAGGGTTAGGATGAGGTGTAGCGGTGACCTGTTTGTACTTGCATGTATTATTTGGAATCATTCCACGTAATTAAATTATACCATCCAGACGAGCATTATTGGACTAATTAGTGCAAACCAACGGCAGTTACTTGCACCAGATAACAGTATACTTCAATAGAACGACAAGGAACAACTACGAAGTGGACTTATATATGTTGCAAAAAGTTATCAGACTGGTAGCCGACCCAAAATAAACAACGCAGGCTGATATAATATCAGCAGCACTACTACTGACAGAGGGCCTCGACGAACGAAGTTTACGGTGCACTGACGTAAAACAATAGACTAGAGTACGCCTGCAGTATATAGACTGACATCGTCTATCAGAGCTCAAATAGGAACAAGGACTTGGAAACAATTCTAGGCAACTATTTTCACATTATTGAACATGGATTCATCTCGCTCCACTCAAGATAAGATAATGAAATAGTATCTATTTGATATATATCATTTATCACAATAAAAGTGCCACGAAATTTAACAAACATACAGCTATCGTAGATCTATCTAAATAAATATACATACACATAATCGAGATTTAAACACAAAGGTTTTGCTTCCAACGTCGACCGGAATATTCAACCGATCCGGACATAACCTGATAGAATAGAAAGAAAAAAATATGTACTAAGAAAGATGAACAGAGCTACCATCAGCCGTAACTCAGTGATAGTAGTCCGTTTCCAAAAGACAGACGATAACGACGGTATCGTATATCACTCCCAAAAATAAAGGCCTAAAAAAACACAAAAATAGTGCGAAGCGTCTTTACGGCGGCATCGACTTAAGTGAAAAAAAAAAGTCTAAAGATGTGAGCTCATCAAGATACACTCATGACATCTCCACCACAAGAGGTAACTGCCCGGAACGAATAACCAACTGAAGGTACGCGTCCGAACGAAAACAATATACCGCGAATGATAACAACCTAGAAGAAGTAATATAACATAATACTAAAGAACAGCATATAGAAGAAAATAGGGTTAGAAGGAGATTAAGAGAGGTAGAGATTAAAGAAAGAATATAAGAGAGAAGTAAGAGCAATAGAGCAGACTCCCTAAGATCGTTAACAGAGAAGACGATGAGTGAGGTTCGGTCCGCACATATTAGATAAGTAAGTATTTAAGTACCAAGGGTACTTTCCGAGCAAGTACCACTGGAGGCGGACTCATCCCAGGACCAAGTGATAAACATCAGGTTTAGCGTCGTCAATAACGTTGCAAACGCCACCCGCCCAGCATTGGCGCTAACGGTGCTATCCGGCGCTTTCGGAAAAGCGTATCAGTGGAACATCGTCAGCACTCTACATAGCTTCTGGTACAGGTTAGCGGAATAGAGGAGGAGGATTAGGGAGAAGAGGAGAAAGCTGGTGGAGAAGGAGGAAGGGGAGAAGGAGAAGTGGGGTAGAGAAGGAGGGAGGGAAGAAGCTTGGTGGAGAAGGAGGGGGATGAAGGGAGAACGTGGTGGATGAAGCGAGGAGGGGAAGCTGGGTGTGAGGAGGGGGAAGAGAGAAGGTGCGTTGGAGAAGGAGGGAGGGAGAAGCTGGTGGAGAAGTGCTAAGGATGTACATATTACCAGTCAACCTACGCAGTTCGAGCCGTACTACAGGATCAGATACAGCGCTAATCGATCCCAGGATTCACGCGCAAGCAGGCAAGCCACGCGACTACGAGCGTATATTAAGGCACGCCATTGGACTTGACTTCGCGCCCAGGGCTGCTTCATCTACCAGACGGCCAGGGAGAACCTACTGTGTAAGGAATCCAACCTTACAGAGGAGCGGAGAGAAGCTGGTGGAGAATGAGGAGTGGGAGAAGCTATCGGTGGAGAACTTCTACCCTTACTCCCCCAATTATAACACCTCCTCCTTTCTCCCCCTCCTCTCTTCTCCACAGCTTTCTCCCTTCTTCCCCTTCCTCATTCTTCACTAGCCTTCTTCCCTACTTCCAACCTAGTACTTAGTTCTACGTACTCTAAACTTCCTCCTCCCTCCCCTTCCCTGCCCTACACTGTCACTTCGCTACCCTGTACCGGGAACTACGAGCAGTCGAGCTGCTTGACGATGTCCCAAATAAGAATAAGTTGATCGCCCGAAACGCGATAGATTGTCTGTAGCCGCCAAATACTGGACCAAAAGGCTGACGTTTGCATAAGAATTTTTACGACGCCTAACTGGGAGCCCGTTGCCAGAAAAAGATAATAATATAGCTCTATAACACTATAAACCTGAAACTTAAGGTTTTTCTCTTTAAGCGTTGCCAGAAACTTCGTAAGTTAGAGAATTAAAAATTTCTTCGAACTATGTCTCTTTAACTTACAGCAGATCACTAGGACCTCCCTATAACTGTTAAGTATTCTAGAGTTGGAATAAGACACATTTACAACCACGAATTACAAATTATAGTGACATTAATATTTTATAAATGCAATAAAAATGTGATGTTTTATCTTAGAAAACACGTCCAAAATCATTAATTATCTACGCTAATTTAAAAACAAAAACAATACATTTATAAATGACGTATGGACATTTGTTCATCTTGTTTCAAAGGTTGCACGCTTGACCACCGATTCTGGCCGTCTCGATCGTATTACAGACATGTGAGGAATGTTGTCTGTGCTTGTGCGAGGATTAATTCATGACCACGTCAATATCTTACATCCATATCATAAGATTTAATATCGTGTTTAGCCATCAGTAATATGACTAAAACTGCGGGTGAGGCATACAATAAATGCTGTATGAATTCTGAGAATTTTTTGATCGATTTCCCATCCAAATCAGCGAGCTTGTGTATGAAAGTCTGTTATCGTAGACCGTTTTCACTTAAGTAAGATTATAGTTAATAAAGTTGGTTTACTGGGGAACCCTATTTTAACCGTAACATTAACATAATATGGACTTAAATTAATTCGATAACTATTACGAATAGTTTAGACAGCAAGGCCCCCCTGATGTTTACCCATACTCATAGACACTAGATAATCAGTGGTGATCACTAGCACTTCAGCCAGTTAGTGGAGACTTGCCGAGAGAATAATGCCTGGACGCCTAAATAGTGATAATAAATAGATATACTTGATACAATATCCAGTTACTAATCTATATATGTTGTCAAACTGATTTTTACCCCTGAACACACGTTCAACGGCACAATGATTCAGAACACAACACACAGAAACACGCCGCTAGTTTGGCCCTGGAAATAACAGGAAAATACACAGAATGTCTTTTTGATTTTTCTTTCTTTTTTTTTTATATTGTATTTTTCTTTTTACACCCATGCTAAGTTATAAT